AGGAGGAGGAGGAGGAGGAGGAGGAGGAGGAGGAGAAGAAGAAGAAGAAGAAGAAGAAGAAGAAGAAGAAGAAGAAGAAGAAGAAGAAGAAGAAGAAGAAGAAGAAGAAGAAGAAGAAGAAGAAGAAGAAGAAGAAGAAGAAGAAGAAGAAGAAGAAAGAAAGAAAGAAAAGGAGGAGGAGGAGGAGGAGGAGGAGGAGGAGGAAGAGGAGGAGGAGGAGGAGGAGGAAGAAGAGTGTGGGAGAACATGAAGAGAAGACAGCAAAAGGGAATTGGAACCAGTAAACAAATAAATCCAGTGAACTCCAAGATTTTTTTCATCACATATAGCCTAGATATTTTCCAAACACAGTTTCTCCATGGGATGTTTTTCCACAAAAGACCTCTCCAGTTGAATGGGAACAGAACTTCTGTAATTCTTATCAGTTGCAATGGAGATCTTCTTAGAAGAACATCTTGGTGGAATGTATGTGGTGGCTCCCTCACAGAAACAGGAGGCTTGAAACTCTAGATCAGCTGGCAGCCTGTGGGGCAGATGCATCACATGCAGGCCACGCCCATGAAGGCCATGCTCCACGAAGGGGGAAACCATCATGTGACAGCAGTGTGACATCGCAAGTTTGACACCCATGCTCTAGATGGCAACCATAGCACTGTGACAGAAGACCCCCCGCATTGTTTGCCTGTGTTGTCTCTGTGATGCATGTAAAAAAAGGGTGAGACACCTCAATTATACAGCTATGACCTCCATCCAATGGTGGGCTGCTGCCGGTTTGGTCTGGCTCGCCTGTAGCGGTAGTTATGACCAGCGGTTGGGCCCGCCCACCCGCCCAGGCATTATCCCATCCTATGTATTTCATATTTTTGCTCACCCTCTCCGTCCTTGCAGCCCAGCTGCTGTCCGCGCTTCACCTGATCTACTCACCCTGGCTGCTGCATGGAGATATTCCCCTCGGTTTTGCAGCCTCGTGCAAGCATGTATGACACACACATGAAGGGGCATGCATGCATGTACTCACATTTCCGGTTCTGCACTAGGCGAACCAGTTGTTAAAGTATGTGCAGCCCACCTCTGCTGCCATCTTGATCTTTTGACCTCTCCTCATAAAAAGCCCAGAGTGTCTAGCTCATTTCCATCCTTGCTATTTATTATTAATTGTGTTAAGTATGGTACATACAGAAACAGAGAAAGAAGGACAAAAGCCAATTCTGTCCTGTATGTGTTCATATGTTACTTGTTTTACAAAGCTATTTTAATTGGTCATTTCCACTCTGAATCTAAAAGAAATACGACGTAGTACAGTTTTTGCTTTGCATGTTTATCTTAAAACAATTTAGCCTTTGTAAAATTTAATTTAATTTTTAGTATTGTATCAAATTATAATCAACACTTCCTTTAAAAGAAATTAGTAGTTAACAGCCTAACAATTTCACAAGAGAACTGTAATATTATTCTATTAAAATTGTGTTCGTGTGTGTGTAAAAGAAGAAACAGACATCCTGCGATCTCTGGAACTAAAAATTATATTTATTGTACTTACAAAGCTTGTACTTATTGTACTTACAAAGACATTGTCAGAGTATTAAGCTACCATTAAGTAAGTAAGTACAATAAATATAATTTAAAAAATTATACAGTAAAAGAAATCAAACCCCCCAAACTCTATATTAAACTATTTAGGCAGAAAGAAAGTTTATTTTGGCCATTGGTTTATTGGTCATATTGGTTGACCAAGAAAAATCCATTCAATAGAACAAACAAGACAAACTTATCCCCTAAGAAGAATAACTATAGGCAACTATTTGTGGATGAAACTTACACATAGGTACACATAATGTAGCACCATTTGGCACTTTTAGAGAAATAAATGTATCATGGTTAATAGATAATGCAAATAAAATTTATCAAAGTGTCTCAGAGGTGATGATATAGTTGAACATGGACCCGCAGGGAATAAAACAACAATAGACAGGGGGCAAAAATAGGCGATTTAAAAAAATCTTAGCCCATAACTTTAGCTGAGAATTTGGTGTGAATTTCATTCTAACTAGAAATAAGATGGCTTTAAAAGTACAGAGAGATCAGCCCTTCCCTTATGTATTAGTTTGAGAAAATGTACTTGATTTATCAATTGTTAATAAAATTATTTAAAAAAAAATCCACCAAGGAAAATAATTTTTGTTGGTAAAAGAGAGGAGGTGTAATGATTTCCTTCACCAGCAGATGGAAGTATAAATCCAGTTTATGAAACTAAGTCTGCCTGAATCTTTTGCTTGAGGTTAGAGACAAGACTAAATAAAAATTGGATGTTTTTTTTTAAAGGGTGTTTATTATGCTGGGCAATTAATTCCTGTGAGGTTTTTCTCCTGAACAGTACTAAGTATATCCTGAAATGTACCTGCAATTAAGTGGAATGCAGTGCATAAAACTTGCTGCTCTTCTTAAGTTCCACCTAACAAATTGCAAGTGTTGGTAATTCATCCCTTCTTTTTCATGCCCCCTTTCTTTTTCATCAAGAGGGCTGCTTACAAAAAAAGTAAAGTATTAACAGACATGATTAATCCTTTGATGGAGAAACTCAGAAATTCCCAAGGCTATCACAGACTAAACGTAGGAAACTGAAAAACATCTCAGAAGAAGGCAGGGCCAAATATTTCTAAACTGTGGTCAAGAAAATTTCATAGCGGAGTCACCAAGAGTCCCACTCAATGAAGATTTTACAGTAGGGTAGGGTAAGGTAGGGTAGAGGAGAAGAGAAGAGAAGAGAAGTAGAATAGAACAGAACAGAACAGAATAGAATATAGAGTAGAGTAGAGTAGAGTAGAGTAGAGTAGAGTAGAGT